CAGAGAGAGACAACATGGAGACACACAGACACACAAGCAGAGAGAGACAACACAGAGACACACAGACACACAAGCAGAGAGAGACAACACAGAGACACACAGACACACAAGCAGAGAGAGACAACACAGAGACACACAGATACACAAGCAGAGAGAGACAACACAGAGACACACAGACACACACGCAGAGAGAGACAACACAGAGACACACAAGCAGAGAGAGACAACACAGAGACACACTGACACACAAGCAGAGAGAGACAACACAGAGACACACAGACACACAAGCAGAGAGAGACAACACAGAGACATACAGACACACAAGCAGAGAGAGACAACACAGAGACACACAGACACACAAGCAGAGAGAGACAACACAGAGACACACAGACACACAAGCAGAGAGAGACAACACAGAGACACACAGACACACAAGCAGAGAGAGACAACACAGAGACACACAGACACACAAGCAGAGAGAGAGAGAGAAGCTCAAACCGAGATCTCCGTGCTTGTTTGTATTGAAGTCCTGTGTCCAGCCCGTCCGTCCCCTATGGGCAGGAATTCAACACAACTCCCCCTCTGCCCCCCCCCCCGCCCCGTCTCTCTATATTTAAGGCCTCGACACAGAGCTATTATTATTTAATTTCATTTCTTTCTACCTGACTTTACCGAAAGAACCAAAGAGTATACAATTTTTGTGCAGTGTTTCAGCAGAAATGCATTATTTTTTTTATTTAAAAATATCCCTATAGTTAATTATAACAACAACAAAATTCCGTAAGCCCAGCTTACATGTACTGTATCAATATACCTACAATGGCTAAAAACTCTATGCTAATGTACTTTTTGAACCTTCTAATATGCTCCTGTCAGAGCTGTCATTAACCCAACTCCAGTGACGCTTCGAGTCACGTGGTTTCGTCTGCACGCGCTACGAGCACGCGCTGCTGTGTTCGTCGCTGCTGGAGTTTTTATGGTCGCTGATTTTGTCAAATTTTCTGGTGTTTTAGCTACAATATTGTGGTAATTAGTATTTGTGAACCTATATCAATAACTGTTTTTTTTTAATTAAGTAGTAATTAAAGGAAAAGACGGAGAAAAATCGAAAAAGGCTTCCGCTCCGTTACTAATAATGTTGTAATTAAATGTAGAAAGATTTTACAAAACAATTTTGTTAGTATTCATATAATCTAAGAAATATTACATTTTAGAAATTTACAACGATGTCACATATTATTCTATAATAAAAATTGATAATGAACTTACATGTAGAACAATTATAGATTATCTAACTATTTGATAACTAAATAGAGAAATCGACAATTTAAAACCTGAAGTGGGGGAAATGCAATTTTTCTTGATACATGCTTAGATATATAACTTAATTTTTTTGTTGTAGTCTTTTTATTTTCTTTAAAAATATCACAGTCTTGCAAATATATATTTGATTTAATGTAGTTCTTACATGTTTTTCCGTTTTATTTCGAATTCTATTTTTTTCTTACCGAATTTTCACTTTAACCACGTGAAACTATGTAAAGGTAAATACATTTAAATTGTACGTATGGTATTGTAATTTAAAGGTGTAATTTTTATTTTGCTAGTTGTTTATGTCACTACTATTGCCATTACATTCAGTGATATACGGGAATTACGATTTACGAGTAACATCAGTACAAAACACATTACTAAGGATTCTGTATGTTCTGGTACGGGAGGAGGTGCATTGGGGGTGACACCAACCCTAGTGACGCCACTGATATTTGCAATAACTTAAAAAGATAATCAGATGCGAATTATATAGATTGTACTTAGATGTATTCAAAGCCTGCTGTATAATCTTGATTTGAAGCTTTATACATTACACTAAGGATCAATATTGCCGATGCTCAACTGTAATGTTCGAGGAGTTTACGATAGGTGCGGGATGGGGCTGAGGGTCGAAAATAATACACCACACAACAGGACAGCCAACAGGCTCATCATGTTTTAACAGCATGCAGTAGCGTTCTATGAAAATAGCCAACATGTGTGTTCAAGTGCGAATTGCAATATCCAAGGCGCGCAGGGATTCAAGCGCAACCCAGCATCCATCACGATCATTACTCTGTGGAATAAAGGAGGGTTAGAGCTGCCCTGCCTTATACCTGATTCAACCTGGGTGACACCAAAACCACAGCCACATGATAAGACCTCAGCGATCAAACAATAATAATGATGACGTCAACTTTTGTAACGGGCGAACTCAGGCGCGCGAGTAGGAACTACAGACAAGCAGGAAGACAGCCACGCCATATTGTTCGTGTTTTTTGTTTGTTGAGGTTGCACCCGATTCAAGAGCCGAATGGCTCACAGGGCTCACAGGGCTATACCAAATAAATGAAACTGAAAACTGAAACGCGGTGAGCTGGCGCCAACAATTGGCGAAGCTCAACGGTTCTCTATATGTTAAGCTGTTAATGAGTCATGGGACCTCCCTTGCCAGTATCAGAATATAAGGATAGGTTTAATCCTCTCTGGCAATAAAACAGTTTGTGTTGAGATGATAAAACACCAAACAGAAACCTTTTGCAAGGAATCATATCTGCATTAACCACACACAGTACTTGTGGTGAACATGCAAACAAAAAACATGCTCTGGTACCACATTTTGCCTGGACTGCATTCTCTCTGCCACCGCAGTGCCTGGCTGCATCGCATCACCGTGCACCACAATACGCAATGATGATGCAAATAAGACGTGGATTTGTGTGCAGTAAAAGCATGGGCGGAGTTTGCGGGTCGAGGTATTTGGCTGCTATAAATGTCCACGTGATGAGCCATCATTTGTGGCCAGGTCGCTGCTGAAAAAGGGCTCTGTAAGCTCAGTGGGTCCTTACCAGGTAAAAAATAAAATTAGTTTCGTTTTTTTAGTTTGACCATTCTTTGCCATGGTCTGCTAACATCTGTCTCCTGCCTTTCTCACGTCTCTTCGTATGTATTTTGAGAGTATGCATTACATTGTGTATCGCTATTAAATGTCTGCGGCCTACTGCTTTTGGGACAATTGGTCCAATCCAGGCCTTTGCAAAAGAGGCACCCTTGGGCCAAAGCGTCTACTACATCCATGATAGTAGTGGCGAAATAACATTTCTTATTTGATGGTGATAATTGCTCTTCAGCTTCTGGATGAACTTATGTTGTTCAGGTCTTGCTTGATGGCTAGCTTGAACTTATGTGTAAAACTCCTTTATTTCCCTTTGTGTTTCTTCCCAAGGAATACGCGTGTTCAGTTCGCTAGTCAATGCTTGCAATAGAAGACGTCATTTATCTCTTCTTTGAACTTTGCCAAAAGGTGTTTTCAAAGGTCTTCTTACTGTTGTTGAGTTATGTCAAGTAACTTTGCACTTTTCCAACTGTGTTCTTAGCCATTGCAGTGTCTACAGATCACTGTTATATGTCCTGATCTCTTTGAATCCTCACACGGTTAAATAAAGTCAACTTGAAACTCTAACTTATCCCATTTAGTCACAGCGTAAAGCATATGAGTAAATGTTTGTATACACTGAAGCATAACATCAACAATTTTCACCAATTTACTCTTAATTTGCGTGAAATATATGTGGCCTGTAGATGATTAAACTTTGTGTTTCAATTTCTGCGACTATGTTTTATAGCTGGGTAACGTATCGTTAAAAGTGAACGTGCACGAATTTTAGCAACATTTTCAATTCATGGGCCTGTCTGGGAAATGGCCAGGTGAATGCCTCATCACCAAAACATCGTGTATGTATGTATGCTGAACTTCTTTCGCATCGTATGTAGCTAACTCTAAAAATCGGGAGGACATGAATTTACTTCCACGCTTATAATTGACATGTTTTGTTTACGTGACAACCCTTACTAATTTAACACATTCATATTTACGCGATCTAACCCAAAATAAACAGTATTATGAATGATCTGGCTGCACTCTGCAAACTCAATGCACCTTACCCGCTCTCTTTGTATAAGCAGCTATTTATTTGAGTTGGCCATTAAAGAGCTTGTCGACATTCATAATGTTCAATGATTGATCGGCAAATGATAACGTGTGGACAGTTTCTTTCCTTTTAATGGAAATAGGTTTCGTAGAATTGACAGCAAATCTGTACAAATGCGTTTTCGCCGAATTACAATGAAACTGTTCGAGAGCGGTCGGACCGGCATTGTTGCGACGAACAAAGTGGCGCGTATTGTCTCGTGCGCGTGCGTGCGTGCGCGCGCGCACGTGAATGCAGAGCAAAAGTAAACAGGAAAAACAAATGTGGACAGGATGCTGGCAGTGACAGGCGACCTGGACATCATGGAAGCCTAATCCTCCAGGGAGAGTGATGATGGCAGCGATTACGTTGTTTGACCACCGGGTATTTGTTGACAATTTGGCCGACAAGTGGGATTTCTCGGTTAAAGAATATTCTTTATATCAATAAATCTTGAACCACCATTTTCTACATATACCATGCCTCGTGTTTTATTAAAATATCAGCACACACAAAGGTTAAACTACAGGAATATAGAAGGAAATGCTGTGTAAACTGCATTTGTCAATGCTAAAAAAAAAATTGGTTATACGCTAATAATGGTGATTTATCATATCTTTTTTTGTTATTAAATATCCTCAAAGTGTAAACAAACGGTCTATATATGAGAGTAATCTGTAGACCTTTACATTCCAGTATATTGGCCGGAAAGGTTAAATAATTACTCCCTCTGATGAATGTGAACCTTCATTTCCATGGAACTGCCAAAAAACCTCCTCGGCTACGGCAAAGTTGTGTCCATCCCAGCCATTTGGCCCTTGGCAGCCACTTCACGTGGACGATTTAAGCAGTGCACTGAGCGCAGCCCTGAAGGCACTGACGAATATAGCTTTACGGGCTTGTAATATAAGAAGCCTGACATATTTCTTTCAGCACGTCATTGGTGATTAATTAGAACAGGCCATATTTTGTCGGTTGAACTTTAAAAAAAAAGAGACCCCTTTGCAAGTTTTGAGCCAATGGGATTTTAGCGAGCTGGCATAAATTATTCTTTTAACGTCATTTAACGTCAGCTCGAGAACCAGTGCCGTCTTTCTCTTCACAAGCCTCCTCCCGGCTTCTCCATTCCCCTTCGGTCTTGAAGAGCAGGTCAGTGGTCGGGAGTTTGTCTCGCGCAAATTCAATAAAGTTTCAGTGCGTCGCCGCACAACATTCTGTGGGTGTTAATTGCATCCAAAGTTAAGCCCGTTTCATCTTCATAAATTTGTATGTGAAAGTGTAACTTAGTACGACGTGAACAATATAATCATTACTATTCTACGTTGCACATTAAAAGTAAAGTGTATGGCAGTTATGCCCTTTGCTCATTCAGACCATGAAGTACTGCAGTTATAAAAAGACATGTAACTGTGCACTCGCATCTGCTCTGTACATATCAAGTGTAAATATCTGTATTCTCAAAGCAAATATTATTTCCTTTCAAGAAGTATCTCCAAAATATTAAGTAGTTTACCGTAATTATCAACTCGTGGTATTTTAGGAGTGTGTTTTAATGAGTATTGTATTAACAATAATTCATTTAAAGTTTTGCATGTTTTTGTTAATTAAGCTTATCAACTGTGCAACTGTACGTTATGATTATACAAAGTTGATGGGCGTTTGTCATTAATGTTCAAGAGCACGTGGTGATTTAACGTAGTGATTAATTATGCCAAAAATTGTAAATTATTAGAAAACAGTGGTCGGCCACGGCTCCCATGTTATTCTTGTTGATTTCCATGAACCCATTGACAATCTGCTCTTGTTAATAGGTCCACGGTGTGAAAATGTTACTTTAACCTAAACCAATTCAGATCTGGTGCCTAAAAATACATTACAAAGGAATATTCAATTGACCCCTGAAATTTGGTTAAGGCCTATTAAAACCTATTGAACCCATTAAGATGAATCCAAAAACATCTCTTTTTCAAACCTTTTTAATATTTTAATTTTAAATAATGTGAAATTGTAGCGAATGCCCTGAACCCTTGCTCAATCTTTGTACTTGATCTCGGCAAGGAGGAGTGAAATGGTACATGGAGACCATGTTTAGAGTATGCCAATACACCTATTGCTACTTTATTGAGTAGCTTTTCTACAGTCAGGTTCTCGTCTTTTCTGCATAACCCTTTTAAAGCGGGGCAGTTCGAGTTTCCCACGTAGGCTTTCGTGACCAATATCATTCATAATAGAGGTTTTTTTTGGGTTAGATTGCATTAATATAAATGTGTCGTTAAACCCGCCACCACCCGACACAGCCAATAAGTCAGGTTTCTCACGTAAACAGAACATGCCAATGGCTAGTAACCAATTGGCATGTTCTAGTAAAGAATTAGCATGTTCTGTTTACGTGACAACCCTTACTAATTTGCTGTGTCGGGTGGTGGCAGTTTTAACGAGACATTTACGCGATCTCACCCACCAAAAACTATTATAGTTTGAGTTTCGTTTGCGGCCCAATGTTAATTTCCCGTTTAAAAAATTCTGAGATCAATCGATATACCCCTGCCTTGTCCATCTGCCTGTGGTGAATATTCTAACATTACCTTTAGATTGTAAGCACATGTGTGACTGAAAGCTGAGTTTCTTTTGCAAAGAAATAACATCTAATTTGGCACTCAACTATAGAGGCTAGCGTAGTTAAAGGACACCGATCGTAAGCTACAACCTTTAAATATGTTTTTCGGCATTTAATTACCACTAATCCGGGAGAGAGAACACTGCTATCCATGTCTTTCGGAAACCAGGTCTAAGGCTAGTTAAAATTAAAGGTGTGGAGTATAAATAACAGAAAATGAAATATTAAACAATGTCCAAGTTGCTACAATAGTTGCAAAATAAACAACGCAAATGTAAAAAAAAAAATTTAAGGCGTTAAAAGTTGTAATATTATTGGAAACAAAAATTTTAATGTTACCCGGTAAAAATTAAAGGCTAAACAAAACATGAATGGGTTATATTGCAATAAATGACAGTTGGCTGCCTTAATATTAGTTTCGCTAAATGTCACATTTGGAGGGCAAAGGCAAAAGAGAAAACTCATTTTCATTCACTACGTAAATGAATTATTTATAGAGCAAAAAAAAACTCAGCACATTTGTCAATAATACTGCGGCCTTAAAAGGAAAAGCATTAGAACAGGCGATGTTTCAGGCAATGGCGCAATGGCGCGTCTTCACGGGACGTAAATACATTCGGGGCATCGTCGGGAAACGTTGCCTATTGTTCCCTTTTAAGGCGAGTGTCTTTGACGGACGAGTTGAATTTGTTTGTTATTTGTATTTGTGCACCACCGCCAACACCGCATCGCCAAGCAATGTTTTACATATAGAGAATAATTGCGTCTGATACTCCAGACTGCTGAATAAAACTGCTTCACTAAATTGTAAGAGTGTAATTTAAAATGTAGCGTTTTCCATCACGAATTCCCTAATTAAAACTCTTTACTTGTTCGATATGGAACAAGTCCAAAATGTTCATATCGATCTGATGAACAGAGTGTGAAGTACAGCAGACTAATGTAGATTACCAAACCTCAGATAGGCGCAACATTGGTCCAAATCCATAAATAGTGGTGCTGTAATATGAGGTTAGGAAAGGAAAGTGTACATAGGCTTTGCATGTGAACAGCCATAACTATCGCTGTAAACTAAACAGCTGGAGTTACGTGTGTTTTTTAATGAGAATGTACCATTACTTATGTATGTATGTAGAGCTTCTTTCGCACCGTACGTAGCCAATACATTCCCAGGAAAACTCTTCTCATCCATTGTGATACGGGGACCAATATACCGGATCCTATTTTCCGTGGGGCTATATTCGCAAACTTGGACAAAGTGGAAAGTATGTCCTTTGCTAATATTACAGCGTTTTACTTAATATTTCCGTGTATTGCTTGCCATAAACGTGACGCTGTCTGCACAGTAACTGGCATGAACATTTAAACAAACAAACTATTTTTATTCTACCAGGTAAGGCCCACTGAGCTGTATAGCTCTTTTTAGAAGCGACCTGGCCACAAATGATAGCTCAACGAAGTGCCTTATCACGTGGAAATTTAGAGCAGCCAAATACTATAAACACATTTTAATTCTAAATGTGGAGGTAAAAACCGGAGGTCCTGGAGAAAAATCCACACAACCACGGAGAGAGAGAGAGAGACAACGCAAACTCCAAATATACTGTTGTCAGGGTCTGGATCGAACCCACGACCTCCTGTATACCGGGCAAGGTAGTTAACATCTCACCACCGTGGCACCGTTTAAAAAAGTGCCACCGTCGCAACGGCTGCTTGGCAACGCCACTGTTCGTGACAAGCGGTGAGTGTTCATTCTAATGCACTGGATTTATGGAGGGTGAGCAGTGGAGCAAGAGAGCTTGTGCATGGTCTAGTGGGCGTGCAGAATTTGCGGTGACTAATGTCGCAGCCGCACAACAGCAACAGCAGCAACAACAAAAAAATACATTGCCAGTTGTTTGTAGAGGGAAAATCAAACACCGCCACTGCTGCTCATTCTGCGCTCCTGATATCTCGAACGGGTCCTCTTGGATATTATGCCCCGTCTCTTGGTGCTTGTTAGGGGAGCAGCATCTGTTAATTACAGTGAATACTTTTATTTTTATTTCCTCAACCCGCCTCTGTGAGTAATAGTCCTGGACCATATCGGGTTCTCTCTCCAATTCCCCACCCTGTTTTTTTTCCTCTTCATTGAAAACCAATCCTTTTCCTTCACAATCGCTGAGCACGGGGCCCAAAAGCCCAAAACGCCAAAAATTGCGAAGGCAAACCACACCTGACAATACTGCACATGAGAATGGGATGCCGCTGAGAAAAGGAATGAGTTAGCAAGTGTGGAGATGTATGGAACAGGAGGTGGAGAGGGTCACACTGAAGGTTTGCCACTTTTTCCAGAGAAAAACACCAAAAATATTTCTCAGTCACCCTAGGCCTATCAAAATTGTGTGGCATCAATACAGTTTAATTCTATCACAAACTAAAACACACAATAATAGATTTTTCCCCTTTTTTCTGGCAACAAAACAGGTGTTAAGATTTTGATTTAGAGCTTTCGTGACTGCAGGGATTCATATTCTTGGTTCTTTTGGTAAAGTCACGTAGAAGGGAAACAATAAAATAATAAAAATATAAAACAATAAAATTATCACGATGTTTCGGCTGCAACACAAGCAATCATCATCAGGTGTGAAAACCACAGCAAGAAAATTTGAAAAAAGTGGCGTTTTTTTTAACGTTACCACCACAGAGAGCGATTTGGCAGTTTATTCAGATGGACGAGTCCATCTTTGTTCAGAAAAGAGGAGGGGGGAGACGAAAATAATGGATGCGGTCTGAAAGCCACCGTAAGCGTGAACAATCAATTAAGACCCGAAATGGTTTATCAAATCCTTCCAATGATTACTAAACCAGAATCCATCTTCTCGGTTGAAATTGTCTCTGTGTTTGTATATGTGGATAGCCTCATGAACGAATTTCTCATGGTAGCCAGATGGCTTGCAAATAACCTCTGTCTTGGAGAAGTCAATGTCATGTGAGCCTACTGAATTATAACAGTGATCTGCCACGGCCGAGGTGTTGGTCCTACCGAGTTTTAGGTCTGCTTTGTGTTCACGAATGCGGTCCGAGACATGTCGTTTGGTTTCTCCAATGTAACTACTACCACAGAGGCAACTTAGTTTGTAGACGCCAGGGTACTGTATGTCCGGAATCACATCTTTTACAGACGGAACCAGATCACGGATTTTATGTAATGTGTTGAATCGGACCTGGATCTTGTGTTTATTCAAGATTTTGGAGATCTTTTTTGTAATCCCCGCAATGTAGGGTAAAGTGATGTTTTGAAAGGTTCCTCAAGAGGGTCCTTCTTCATGGTTGGAGTGATAGCTTTGCGGATTGTGTAGTCGGAGTAACCGTTAGCCTTAAGAGCTTGGTGTACGTGCTTGAGTTCACTGGCTATGTGTTCCTGGTCAGATATGCATTAGGCTCTATAGTGCAGAGTCTTGATGAGGGAATTCTTCTGGGATAGATGGTGGTGGGAATCCGGTTTCAGGTAAGCATTCGTATGGGTAGCTTTCCTGTAGACAGAGTGGCT